ACGGGATTGGTGCGCTCATTGTGGTCATCATCTCCGCCGGTTGATGTATGAGTGGGTCGTGCTTTTGGCATTGCAGGCATCTTTTGGCCATTTCTTTCGCATCCGTCTTTATTGTCGGCCAAAAGTAACCAGCTCTTAAGATTTTCGCGACCATAGCTCCGGCCTTACTATGATCGCCACAACACCCTTCGTGCACTTCTCGCAAAACGCATCGACCTTGCTCTTTGGATACACACCTCAAATGTGGGCCTGCATAGGATCGTTTGTAGAGCACCCCGCTCTGTTCGAAAAATCTCCTCATTACTTTTAGTGCTTCTTCTCGCAACCCTCTCTGGATCGAGGACCTCCAATCTTCTACCTCCTCGATTTCTGCTACCTCGGCCTCAGCTGTGCTTTTCTCCATGTGTAGCAATGTCACACTCCTACTCTTGCAATCTACCAGATTTTGGGCGATCTTAGACAACAAATCAGCCCTACCATTCTCTCCTCGAGGTATTTGTATCAATTCAAATGACGTAAATTCTTCTTTCAGTTTCCTCATATTGTCCACAATACGTTTGCAGTCGATCCTCTTTGATCTCAAAACCTTTCTGAAATTGGCCGACCACCAACTGGGAATCCGAATAAATCTGGACCTTTCGAGCACCACCATCCAGAGCTAATTGTAACCCCTTTATTACCGCCTCGTACTCTGCCTCGTTATTTGACACGCGGAATCCCAACTTGACGGCAAACTCCAAATAATCGCCTTCAGGCGAGACCAGGACTATCCCCAAACCGGCCCCGCTTCTCGACACTGAGCCATCCGCGTACAATTGCCACTCTCCTGAGCTCTCCTCCTTTGTACCTTCCTGGATAAAATCGGCCAAAACCTGGGCCTTAATCGCCCTCCTTGGCTCGTACACTATAGAGTATTCGCTTAGTTCGACCGCCCATTTTACAAGTCGACCTGATACTGCTGGTCGGTCCAATGTTTGCGCTAAGGGCATGTTCGTCCGCACCCTGACCTTGTGGTTTAAGAAGTATGGTCGTAACTTTCTGACTGTCATGACCACCGCCAGTGCACATTTCTCAATCTCTGAATACTTCAACTCCGCTCCTTGCATTACTCGGCTAACATAATATATGGGGAACTGAGCTGCTCCCTCTTCGCGCAACAACACCGAGCTTACTGCGCTTTTGCCCACAGATATATAGAGTATGAGCTCCTCTCCAGGCACTGGTTTAGCTAGCAATGGCAAATTCACCAGTACTTCCCGTAGCTCCTCGAAAGCTTTCTGCGCTCCCTCTGTCCATTGGAATTTCGAGCTCTTTTTTAATGTTTTGAACAGGGGGCCACTTTTCTCGGCTACCTTGGCGATAAACCGGCTCAGACCCGCTATTCGACCAGTCAGGATTTGGACCTTTTTCACACTGGCGGGTGGTTTCATTTCGATGACCGCCCGCACCTTCTCTGGGTTCACTTCTATTCCCCGCTTGGTCACCATATAGCCCAGGAATTTTCCCGCTTTCACTCCGAACGAGCACTTACCAGGGTTAAGCTTCATGCCATACCTTCTTAATGTTTGGAACGTTTCTCTCAGGTCGCCTGTATGATCCTCTTCCCTCTTGCTTTTGACCAACATGTCGTCCACGTATACCTCCATATTTCTTCCCAACTGGTCCTTGAAAATTTGGTCGACCAACCTCTGATAGGTCGCCCCTGCATTCTTCACCCCGAACGGCATCACCACATAGCAATAGGTGCCCTTACTCGTAATAAAACTCACCCTCTTCCAGTCATCCTTCGCCAAAGGGATTTGGTGATAACTTTGCGAGGCATCCATCAAGCTGAAGAGTTCACAACCCACCGTCGAATCTACCAGCTGATCGATTCGCGGCAATGGGTACAGATCTTTTGGGCATG